AAAAAAAAAACACAATTTATTTTTTCTTCTCTATACATAAAATAATTAATAACAATAATAAATTTTCCCAGATTTAACATAAATAGTTCACAATAACCACTTAAACACTTAGAAACACTTAGACTGCTGCTTGAATGACATAAAACCAAAGTAGAAGCAGACCATATACAGACAAATAATTACCTCAAAATCGTACATAATGTCAGGTCAGCTTCCAATAAAAGAAATCAAATCCTACAACTTATAGAAGAATCTCAACCAGAGATACTAATACTGTCCGAGACTTTCATGTATGCTGAAGAAGCCTAAAAGCTGCGATATGGGGAAATCCGACATATTAGTAACTTCAGTAGAGAAAAAAATACCAACAGAGGAGGAGGTGTCATACTCATGGCTACCCCTAAGAAGGGCACCAAAATAGAAGTTTTCGACCTATCCAAATTCGCCAAACAAAATATACTTGAAGTATGCGGATGCACAGTGGACAGTGGTAACAATACAGAGAAGAAGCAAATAATAATAGCTATATAGACCACCTCCCATTTCAACAGTTGGAGAATTCCTCACCCTACTCAACAATATGCTTCTGGAAATATACAAACCAAACACTACAATCACAGTGGTTGGAGATTTTAATATTGATGCCATGAGCAATAGTAAGGCCTCAGTCGAATTAAAAGAGATACTGTCAAACTACAAGATAAAGCTACTGCTAAAAGATGCCACTAGAGTAACTGACAAAACCTCAACTTGCATTGACAATATCGCTACAAATATAAATGAGAGGACAGAAGATGTAGAAAAAGTTGCAGAAATAATCAAAACTAATTTCTCAGACCATTATGCAACATCATTTCTAATGAAGAGAATGTCAATTCGGGCTGGCCATAAGAAAAACAAATACAAAATATACGAGAAATGTCAGCAATGACAATATACAGCTGCTCAGAAATAGATTGGCCACTGAAAAATGGGATGGTGTATACAACAGTAAGAATGTCAATAATGCTACAGGGGCCTTCATGAAGACCATCATGCACCACTTCAATGAAACATGCCCCAAGACAAAAAAGAATGTAGCTGGCAATAGGAAAAAATCCATCAATACTATGGACAAAACTACAAAAGAATTAAAAGATGCACTGGACCTGGCAAGTGAACACCTCAGAAACAACAAATCTGGGAAAACATCAAAAGAAATAGAAACAATAAATAACCTCCGTAAGGCATATCACACTCCTCCCTCAAAAGAAACAGCATCGAACTGAACAACAAAAGAATAAGTACATCGGACAACATCTCAAGAGAGGCCTGGAAGATTATTAACCAACACAAAACATGTGATGTCAAGATCAAAGAACCCATAATGCTGAGGACTGGCAATGAGGTGTATACAAGTTCTGGTCAAGAAGCTGCTAACTGCCCTCCGCCATAATAAAAGAACCAGAACAGAAGTATGAGCTACTAAGGGCACGGCAGGAGAAAACAATATTTCTTGAACCATTAACTGAGACTGAGCTACTCCAACTAATTAGCAAACTAAAAAACAAAACCTCATCAGGACTTGACGAACTCTCCAACATTACCATCAAAAAAATAGCCGAAGAAATCTACAAACCACTTGCACATTTAATAAACTTGTCCTTCACAGAAGGACAATTTCCCGAATGCCTTAAAAAAAGTAAAATGGTCCCCATCTATAAGAAAGCTGACAAAACTAAACCAGAGAACTACCGCCCACTAGCACTAACATCCAACATAGCAAAAATATATGAAAAGGCATACTATGTCAGACTTGAAAAATTCGTCATTAAAAACAAGATTATTATCCAAGAGCAATTCGGATTTCAGAAAAACAAGGCTACAGCAGCAGCCAATGCTGAGGCCATGAAATTAATTGTCAAGAACCTTGAAGACAAAAAAAAAAAAACAACTAGGTATTTTCCTGGACATGTCTAAAGCATTTGATTGTGTTGATCATAAAAACCTACTAATGATCCTGGAAAACTACGGAATAAGGGGCGTTGGTAATAGCTGGCTCAAGTCATACCTAATTGGTAGAACTCAATGAGTGGCTGTAGAAGAGGAAGGGGAACTCCTAATTGAGGAAATTACCTCAAAATTCCTGACCACAGTTTTTGGAGTACCACAAGGTAGCATTTTAGGACCCCTTCTCTTCCTCATCTATATAAATGAGATTAAGTCCTTTATTACTATAAATTTTAACAGCGAATGTCACCCGATCCTCTATGCGGATGACATTACTCTGATCATCTCAGGCGGATCCATCGAAGATCTCATTGAAATTACTAAAGAAGTTGTCATCAAAATCAAAACATATCTTGCCTCCCTGAACCTTGTGGTCAACATCAGTAGGACTCAATGTCTTTTTTTCACCTTGAAAAACAGGAACGGCGACTTTAAGCTCTCAATAGAAATAGAAGATACCCACATCCAGGAGAGCGACTGTTCCAAATTCCTCGGAATAACCCTTGATAAAGGAATAACTTGGAGAGGGCAAACCTCTGAAGTCATAAAGAAACTTAGATCTGGTAATTTTGTACTTAAACAATTAGCCCAATCCATGGCCAAAAAATACCTAATTATGGCATACTATGCATTCATTTACTCCCATCTCAGCTATGGAACCATTATGTGGGGCTGCGCTCCCAAAGTGGAGCTGAACAAAATTTTCAGTCTCTAAAAACAATCAATTAGAATTATGGAAGGTCTTCAAAAAGAAACGTCCTGTAGGGGCCTCTTCAAGGCACTAAACATGCTGACCCTACCAGGAATATACATGTACCAGACTAAGATATATGCCAAAAATAGTGAGGAACAACTTGCCAAAAATCTGGACATCCACCAATATAATACCAGGAAAAAGAACAACATCCATCTAGATTTATATAAAGGAGCCTTCTCAAAGAACAACCCTATCCATGCCGGCAGCAAACTCCTCAACAACCTGCCGAATAACATCAAAAATATAAAGGATCTCAAGAAATTTAAGAAAGAGTTGAGAAGACACCTCATCAATGAAGAGCCCTATGAATTTTAATCTTATTTTAATTTTCAACTTTTACTTGTATCTTCACTACTTTTACTGTAAATACTATTACATTTGACTTCTGATGTCCCTGTTTTAAGCTACATCAATAAACCAATAATAAAAATAATAATAATAATAGATTGAAGTAAGCCAATAAACTGATTCCTTGAGGACTGGCTTGATCACCCCCAAAGAAAGTCTGAACTAGCAACGCAACCGGCAGAAAATAATAATAATTTCACTTCATGAGACAGGATACTACACTATCCAACCTCTTACATTCAAAATCTGTTGGTTTTTTGTTTGTTTTTTTTAGGAGAAAATTGTAACAAAGTGAATGGAGGAGGGGGAAAGGCTATAATGATACAAAAACGTTATGGAGATGCTGATCAAAAGTGTGAAAGGAAAATGGCTCTACTAACTCAAACTAACTCGAAAGTACAGATAATACCCATAAAAGATGCATAATTCCAAGAAAAAATTACTAATGATAAAACATAGATAATTAAAATCATAGGCAGGGAGAGTTTTTTTTTTTAAAGATGAATACTCTAAAACCTTACCTATTGCACTGTCTGTCTCCAGAGACACCAAATACCAAACACCAGACATGAGAGACATGAATCAGCAGCAGTAAAAACACAAATCAGCTTGTTAGTAGAAAACAACACGAATCCAAGACATGAAACATGAAATAAACAGGCCAAGCCATGAACCAATAAAAACAGAAACATTTTTGCAGCACAAATCCCAATGGTCAAGGCTTTATCAGCTTCAGGATCTTAACATCTTAACATATTAACAGATGAATTTTCATTGTATTAAGCGCTATGGAAATGATTTTGAGTTATGAATGTGTTTAAATTGGTAAAAAGTGCTGACCGGAACATTTAGAAAGATTGCCATCACTTGACATTCAAATGTAAAACCATAGTCATACCATCAAATATAAGGAGAAATGCATTTGTTAATATGTTAAGATGTTAAGATCCTTAAGCTGATAAAGCCCAAATATTAGAACAATGAATACTGATTTTCCACAGATTAAATTTTAAAAAGCAAAAGGAGTGATCGAGTTTAAAAAACAAAAAGTCTTTATAGGGTCTTTATTTTTTACAAAATAAGGAATCAATCATGAAATAAGAGGGGAGAAAAGGGACCTAAGTTCGCCAATTGGTCACACACACAGCTTGATAGATAAAATAAATAAGAAAGATCTTGCCCAGAAAGTAAATTTTGAGGGGTCCAGAACTTGGAAATTTTGTGACTCATAGATAGATATTCAAAAGTTGTATTTGCGAATGTTTAACTGAATAGTCGTGAATACAAAGTCAGGTTTGGATTAAATACTTATAATTTTAATGAATACAAATGAATAATTGTGAATATTGGTGAATATCAACTGATTTGTATTGAATACTAATTATTGTTTGACCCGTGAATATCCGAGGTTGTGGACCCTTCGGTAAATTTGAAAGTATCATTGAAGTTAAGAGAATATATTGACTTACCATATATTTTGAAATTTAGCAAAAATTTACTGAATTACCATGTTAACACTAAAATCAAACTGATTCTAAAATGGCATCATCTAACAACACAAGAACACTAACAAAAAAAAAAAGGGAAAAGGACAAGAGCACCATAATAAATCAACTTTTTTGATACATACCTGAATCTTTTGATTCAGTACTTTGGAGGAACACTTGAACCATTTTGCTAATAATGACAGGCCACAGCAACGTCACAAGGTGAGGAGACATGCGCAGCAAGAGAACTCGGAAGCAGAAGAAAACATTGGCCTGCACAGCGGGCACAACTTGAGGCAGGCGAAGGCTCTCAGCAAGTTTCTCTGCAAATCAACAACCATGATAATTCGGAGGCTTTGGTAATAATTTCAGTAGTTGTATGTAAACATCATGATTGTCTACAGACCTTGAATCTCTGGAATGTACTTTTGATACTGATCCATTTCACCACACAAAATCACAAAAGCTAATCTTTTCAGAAGATGCGCTCGTTGTTCATATTCTTGCTCTCGACTTGAAAAGAGACTTAGGGAATTTCCCTGGCCTAATGAAACACGACCTGAGAAAAGAACCACAGAAAAACCATGTAATGGAGGATGAAAAAAGAAATGGGTAGATTTATGGCAAGTTGCTGAGGTCTAACATACTCATGAGGTCTCGAAAAGTAGTAGTATCATGTGACATGAGATGATCAATGATGCATCGCATTTGGAAAAGAGAGGCTTCCAAAAGCAGGTCTAACACGTCTCGGCGCCATGACTTACGAGTATATTAAAAAGCTGTGAGATTGGCCAGCAGCTCTGAACATGCATAAAAGCTAGCCGCATTTCTTGGACTGTAAAAGAAAGAGTGAGAATAACAATTTGCAATAATATGTCAATACTTATATGAAACCAAAGGTCTTACGAATGATTATAGGTAAGGAATAATGTTGTACAACAAGGCTGTCAAAATGTTTACAACTTTTTCTTTCTCTTGACTTCCAAATGTAACATCCAACAGTGAAGCTAGTTGTTCAGCTAAAACTGTCTGTGCTTGAATGCTGTATTGAGCCATTGAAGCGTTGCCTGCTGATAAAGTAGCCAAAAAAAATTATTGATTGATTAGACAAATTGACCGATGGCAATTATGTGTCAGAATTATTTTTAATAAGTACTACTATAGAGTATTTTTATATTTGATCAAAAGTACCTGTTCCTAGATTAGATTCCTTTTCTTCCAACTGTTCTTCTTTTACAGCTAGATTTCTTCTCAACCATGTGGTTTGCTCCAAACGAGCTCCTGCTATTGATCCACAGGATTCCACAAGCTGAAAATAAAAGAGGCAAATCAACAAAATGATAGCCAAACATTGAAGACAAAAAAAAAATGAGAGACCACATAAAATATAGACCTTTGTAGTAATATCTTGAAGATCTCGTACATCCCGCTTTTCAGAGGGAGATGGGCAGCGCTGAACAAATTCATTCAGAACAGAGAGAAGCAAGACTTGTGCTGGGGGTGGTAGTCCTGGTTGAAGACCATCACGCAGTAGTAGAAGAACAGAGCCCCATGACTCAGCCAAGAGTAATGGTGGGCTACTACCTTGTCGCAAGTAGCAGAGAAGAAGTTCTAGTGCACTCACTTCTAGACGTACAGACTAAGAAAGAAAACAATTAGATACAAATCTTTACACAATACCACAAGGATTGCAAATTAATAGGCTTACATGGTTGGTTCAATGTACTGAGGGTGGTGATTTCAACAATTGGTGCAATGTCTGGACCAAAGTGTCGACTGGCATTGCTCTGATGGCACTGATCAGATCAACCAGCACCTGCTGCTCAGGCACAACCTCAGGAGCTGCCTGAGACAAGAAAGAAAGACTTTTAGACAACACGACTTTGCAATAGGTCAACTGTAATATTTGAACAAAATTCATAGCACTTACAGTAATTGGGGCAGAGAGATCAGATAAGCTTTGACGGCGGTCTTGCCATACAACTGCAATGGCTGCGAGGAAGTTTGTAGCATGATGCATTGACATAGGGCTCAAAAACTCCAATAAATGGTGTCTTATGACCCTTGCATTCCCTGCAGTTGTGCATCCTTCCGCATCTCTGAAAATCAAATTTAAAATTACTACCAGAAGCCTAACCGAGTACAAAGCAGGTGGATAAATAAACACTACACACAAAGGCATCAATTCTATTGATTACAGTTCTCAACTCACTTTTCTGAGCATGTTGTCACAGCTTTCCAAAGAGTGGCTGTGCTGGAAATAATCTGGGGAAGGTTGTATAATAATGCTCGGCGAGCTGCAAGCTGAGGTTCTACATTGTCTTGAGCAGCGTCCTAAAGAGCATGTTTATGGTAATTAGACCACAATAAGACACCATTTTAAAAATATTAAACAGTAGGTGAATTTGCAAAAAAACAGTTAAAAGTATGTTTCATACTTGATGGATTGGGGTTGTGCTAAATATTTGTGCCGCATGGGAAGGTGGTTCAACTCCATTAACTCCATGATCCTCCAGCTGCGCAGCACTAGCAGACAGCAATGGTTGATTGAGGGCATGCTGTTGACTTTGATCCAATAGACAATAATGGCAGAGAATTGGAAGACCCTCCAGTTGAGTGACAGTGTAATCCGCTGGAAGATGGAAATTTCTTCGTTCCCTGTACGAGATGAAAATTTAAGTCATTAAAAATACTGTTCAGCATCAGTAGAGTAGATATCTACATGGTTATGAGGATATTACTTTGTTGACAAGGTGTTGGCATAAAGAGGGGCAAGGGCGCGTAAATTGTCACACAGTTGTCGTACAACGCATAGAACAACATGTGCCGGTGACTGTCCCATGAACGGCAAAGAGCATGTTACCAGTGTGGTCCAGTGTTGATGTAGCCACCTCATCTGACCCTACAGACAACAAATAGGTAAAACAGCAGCTGATGCAAAAAAAATATTAAGAGTGAGACACAAACCTGCATACGAAGAGCACTTAAAATTGCTCCTACAAACATTGGTTGCTGTGGTATTGGTCGTCCAAGCATATACTTTAGTTCAGAGTTCTTTTGTGATACCGAAATTGAGACATCCCCACCATTGAATGAATTAGGGCTGTTTGACGACACTGGAGCTGAACTCTGAGTGTTCTGTTGAACAATAACTTCACATTTTTGATGTTGAATCTGATGCTCTAAGATAAGCAGAGCTAGTAAAAGTCTGAAAAGGAAGATTGTGCAAAATGATAAATAAGAGATGAAAACCATAATTACGGTATTTTCTGTATTTTTTTTTTTTTTTTTAAGAGATAAAAACTAGGTATAATTACGGTATTTTCTTGTTTGTTTTTTTTTCAATTTGAAAAGATAAGTACATTATGGCTAAGTATGATTACCTTAAGAGTTGAATTTGGTATGCTTCCCCTAGAGGAGACATGATGGGATTTTCCCCAGCAGGTCGACTGGGATCATTGAATTGAATTATTTCCTCGGTGAAAGTCAGGTTTGGATGAGCATTGTTTGTTGTGGCACTATCATGTACACTTGCAACAAGGCAGTGTAACACTACTTTCTGAACTTTGCACCGTGACAAAAGATCTCCGATGTAGTTAGCAAGGCCTTTGCCGCTATCACGAATAATACTTGTCAGTTCCGAAAATATTAAAGTAAGCAGCTCCAGACTTGCAACTTGAACCTGTCCATGCAGTACAATGTCAATGGCAGTGTATTCATACAAATTGGCAACAAAAATTTGCACTTTGCCTCAGAATTAATCTTACACATGTAAAGGTAGATCAAAAGGTGTAATAATTAATGGTTACTATACAATGAAAAACTATACCTGTTGGTTGCCTTCAATTTCCTGTTTGGTCAGTCTCATTTGCCCAAGGCTAGGGTAATAACTACGAATGTAATACAGGCATGTGAGAAGAAGAACCTCTAAATACATGTGACTGCGCCCACTGCCACCAATACCGTTTGCAAGATCACCATGGAAATTATTTCCAGAAGCAGATTTTCTATGTCTGTGGTATGTAACACCATCACAGAGTAAGTAAAAGTAAATTTTAAAATGGAAATCATTCAGAAGTGCATGCTTAATACCTGGCTAACAAATTCAACAGATCTGAAGATGATCGAGCAACACCAGTTGTTGCAGCACACGACAAAAATGTCCTAGGTTTTGTTGATAGGGCATTTCGAAGAGTACGCAGAGAATAAGGGGTACGGGCTGAATCATACACTCCACAGTAGAGCAACATATGTAAATGAAGTGGATGTAAAGCTAGATGAGATTGCAGGTCTGAGGACAACCTTTGCTTGCCCACAAAAGTTGATTTTGCCTGAAAAATGTTCAGCTTATCATGTAACATTCAATACACAGATGGTACATGGTACATGCTAGATGGATAGACAAAAAAAATATAAGGGAATGATAAAAATCTAGGATACTATACCTTACCTCCAAGGTAAGTGTATCTAGGCTGCACTTGCCCAACCCTGATGAAGAAGAAAGAACAGAAGATTCTGCCCGAGATCGAGGTCTGGATTGGGATCCAGTTCTACTAAAATAATCTTCAGCAGAAATTGATTCCTCCAACTCATTTTCGGCAGTAGACATCACTGGGGTGTTAACTCTAGTTGGATAGTTGGATCTGGGGAAAACATTGCGGGAATAAATGAACAAAGTGCGGGTCAGTACTGAAAAGTATGTGAAATAGAGGATGGTTTCAATATTACATACGCTTTATCAGAGAAGTCATCTTCATCTCCCTCTTCAAACCCACGACTGAGACTCTTTAAAACAGGGTTTCCCACAACAAGCCGACCATCAACTCTTACTACAACATTAGGCAATGAAATTGAGTCTCCGCTGGGATTGACTGGGGACCTGCACTTGCAGTCACTAAAGAGCTCGAGCAAGAGCTGCTAATGCTCGTGGAGCTATCACCATCATTGCTGACCAGTCACAGCTCAGATGGTATTGACCAAGACACATCCCTTTCATAGGTGCAGTGCCTTACTAGTGTTGCAACTGTAAAAATTCGTCTTGCTCTGACTGAATCACTTTGCTTCTGATCTGTTTCATGATGAAACAAAAAAGGGTTTTTATCTTAGACTAGAAACAATTTGTTAAAAACATATGATGGCCGCCTTCTAACAATTGAATTCTTGCAACGAACCTGAAGACTGCACTGGAGTAACATGGTAGATAACATTGCCATCTTCAGAACTGATAGCAAAAATTCTTGACCCTGCTCTATCAGCTTCATTGGGCAGCACAGTACTTCTAACACGACTATATATTTTAGGCTCAAGTAATAAGCCGTATACATGGAATGAGAATAAGCAGTAAAGAAATAACAAGTAACCCCCAAATAGAAACAATACCAAAATAAACTCTTACCAGACATGACTACCATAAATGCACTCGTATTTTATGTTAACATCACATTGAAAGTCAAAACTTACTAGATTCATTCCTGCGATCATGAGAAAAAGGAGTGATTCCTCCTGCTATGAGCTGCGACGCCAACTCAGCATACAGCAGGTGACACATAGGCTGCTTTGCTGATGTCCAAGTCAGGTGCACCTCCAGGCCGATCTTCCTCCAACAAACCAAAGACGCAATTTTATAGTCGAAAAAACAGGATGCAAAGGAGGCAGGAAGCACGCAATTTCGACAGAAGAGGTCAAAGGCGACTCTCCTAGACCAATTCCAATCATTTCCAGCGATTTTTATTTTTTTCATTTTTGGACAAATTTACAAAGGCCTTCCCATTTTTAGCGAAAATGGGTGGGTCCGGATTTCGACGGAAAAGTAGTCGAACCGACAAGGGTGAACCAGGGAACCACAACACTACCTTTGGTTCCGCCAAAAACCACCCCTGTCCAGACACACTTGAGTTTTAAGGGGTTGTCTTTTGAATCTGGCGGGCATGGGCTGCCATGGGCTGCCTACCTAGCAGGCGAGCCGGTACAAGAAAAACTGGCGTAACTCGCTTAAAATGGGTCTGCGACGTGAAATTTCGACGGAGAGTTAGTAAGAGGGTGCTGTCAAAAGAGCAATTACAGAAAGAAAAAGAGTAAGTTAAATCAATATTTTTAAAAAACTGAATGACAACCACACAAAAACCTTTCCTTTTTGTGCAGGACTCAAGCATCTCAACTGGAAGCAATTTATAAATTATTGAAACAAAAGGAAAAACAATTATTCAATATTAGATCAATGGATGAATTGCAAGAACAACTCAAACTTTATAAATCTTAAATGTTACAAAGTTAAGAAAATAAAAAGTTGTTTAGTTTTTATAATGAAGAATAAAAATGGTACTTGATGACTACAATCAAAGTAATAAAGGAGGGGACTTCAAAACTATCCAATTTGCCTGTTGGCTGACAAACAGATTCAAACAATTATTATATCAACAGACCCCTAACTTGCTTAAGAATTAACATAGAAGAAACTTTCTCATAAAGTGGCACTTCAGCACTTCAGCTGTTGTCCAATCAAGTGGAACACCTATGTTATGTTGTTCTTCTAAAAGCATGATATAAGCCCCATAAAGGCGATGGTGTTCCACTGGGGGCCGGCCGTGCCCACAGCCGCTCGACGGCGTGGCGCGAACAAAGACTTATTCAAATATAAGTTATTTTACTTAAGTTAGGTGTAGGGGCCGGCTCTGAAGACTTTCTAAAAAAAATTGCAGAAGATAAAAAAAGGATTAAAGAAAAATTATGACAGTAATGTGTGCTGTATTTCTGCTTATTTGTCAAGTGCAACCAAGTTACAACAAACAAATCACTTAGGATTGCTGTTTTGGCAAATTCAAGTCTGGAAATATAAGGTTGATTTGGAAAATACATTCAAATTTTGCGTCTCTTCTTTGCTTCTCTGTATCCTGGTCCTGAAATACAAAACAATGTATATAATCAAGTCAAGACTTTTATTGTGGACTAAAGATGTTCAACACTTACTTTTATTCCCATTGAATTGAGCATCTATAGATCCAGTACGAATAGGGGTAATCTGAGTCTCAGGAAGAGAAAGCTTAGGATCGGGTGTGATAGGACTACTGGCGTGCTTATTTTCTAAATTGCTTTCAGATGCACAACTTGCTTCATTTTGTTTACTAGCTTTGTCTTAGATACCAAAAACAAAAGTAAAAATAAAATAAATTAAGATACGAATTAATAACCCTTTCTGCACAAAGTTCAGAAGTCACATTACTTATTTACCTGGAGCTGTGCATTTCTTTTTTTCCTTGAGTATAACACTGTCCGTACAAATCACTGGAGTAGGAGTGATATTGCCAGATATTATATTACTTGGAAGCCGTTCGTAGGCCACAGAGGAGGCTCTGGGTGAAAGTTCTTGATGGTTGGCAGGTATTACTTCCTTGTGATGGGAAAAGATCTTATCACAGGTAACAGAATGCTGGCGTAGAATTGGAGGTGTGTTTTCAACATCTTCCATCTTTTCGAATTTTTCAATTGCAGAAGCAGTGATATTGATGTTTAATAGTGAGGGACTTCCAATCCTTGAACTAAAGAGATCATCTGAAGCACTGCTTTTTCTGCGGGGTGTTTCATCACCACTTTCCTGGTTGTTAACAAGCTTCTTCAGGTTTGATGTCAATGTTAATGACATATCAGTTATATCATGTAAAGTGACGTCACTTTCCATGGGTGTTTCAATGGTTCCTAAAGATCTCGTAACTGATGATAATTCATTTAACTGATCTGCTGTCTTGTCTGAGTTACTTGAATTTACAGCATCTCCATGAGATGGACTTGTGGGAGATTTGGCTTGTTTAGATCGTCTTTTTCTTGGTGGACTCTTGTGGAAATTTCCTTCATTATCATAATTCCATGATGTTCCCTCCTTACAGTCCTCTTGACGTTGGCGTTCCAGATAAGATTTTTTGGACTCAACAATTAGCAGTCTGTTATCTTTATCTTCTGAGCTTGACTCCTCAGACTCAAAGAAGCCTCGAGATCGTTTGCTAGGACTGAAAGCAGAAGATGCGATTGATGGGTCAATACAGCTGTAGAATTTATCTTCATCATCTTTTCCTAAAGATGTATCAGCAGACTCTGGCATAGGTTGAGTGGATGGAGAGATTGACTGAGGAGGTGCACAACTCCTCGGACTAGGTGCATCTCCTCCACTAAAACATTGATTAAGGCTTTATCAGCTTAAGGATCTTAACATCTTAACATCTTAACATGTTAACATATTAACACATGCATTTTGCATCATATTTGATAGTATGACTATGGTTTTACATTTGAATGTCTTTTTATTCGCTAAAATGACGACCAAAACATCCGGGATCGCTACAACGATCGACAGAATCATGGTTCATAGTTTCCTTGAAAGTTGTGTTAAGATCCGGCGAAACCACGGATCTCTGCTTTCCTTCGAACTGAAGCGATCGCAAATCTTTCTAAACGTTCCGGTCGGCTTTTTTTTACAAATTTAAACACATTCATAACTAAAAATCATGGCCATAGTGCTAAATACAATGAAAATGCATCTGTTAATATGTTAAGATGTTAAGATGTTAAGATCCTTAAGCTGATAAAGCCTAACAAATAAACTAATCTGCTCACTTTGTTTGTAACTTATAAATTAAAAGGAATAGTACGTATTACCTCTTTGAGGTGGAACCCTCTGGGGGCCCCGCCGGCCCCGCCCTAAGGGTACAGGAACTACTAATCTCTGAAGTGGCACAGTTGGATCGGCCTTGCACCATTGGACGTGCTGTACCTTGGGTAAGCGTTGAAGTACCAGATGAATCTGAAATTAAAAGCTTTATCAGAACAAAGTTTGCATGTGCTTAAAAATAAACAGGGCGTAAAGAAGCCCTGAGAAATTCAATTTACCCTTATTATGAACGCTTGCCACAACAGAAGAGGTATTGGGTCCTACAGGAGAACTGGAGGTCCTGGTTGTTGGTGCACTAGAGCTTGCTAACAGGTTGCTCGGTTGTTCGACAGAAGCCAGCTCTGAGCAAAGGATCCCAATTTTTTGGTCAACATCATCTATTAAAGCAGATGCTTCATTCATCAAACTCTGGAATTTCTGAAGGCCTGCTCTAGCTGCATCAGCAATGGCCCTGAGCTCTCCCAAACTCCTATCTTGTTTGATAGTATTTGTCATGACAGTTGTTTACTTAGATGTTCCAAGAGAAGTTCTGCAAGATTTAATAGCGAGGAGTCAGAATCCTGTTTTATTTAGCAGACACAAGGGAAATAAAATGTGATCAAAACAATGTTTTCAAATCTTCTCTAAAAACTGGCTTGCCTGTTAAACCTTATAGCAAAAAAATGTGGATGTCGTACAAGTAGCTTAAAAAAGGGAATTACAGATATCAGGATTATGACAGTGAAGAGAAGAGGTCCCCCGCCAGAAGGCACAAAAGTTGCCGTAGATAGTTCTTTTTTTTTTTTTTTTCAGATTGTTTGAGGTATGTCTTAAGCTCGAGTACAATAAAATTTAGAAATTAAGCAAATAAGACTACAATTAGATATTTATGTCTTGAAGTCACGTTAAAGAAAGTGTGGATATTAAAGGTAAGCGTTGTAGAAGAACCATCAAAAATACAGACGAAAAAGTGAAACCAGAAAATGGTTAGGGTGGGCATGAAGCTTCCTTTTTATACAGAATTACACAGCGCAAGGCATCACTAAACTACATTAAAAGGAAAACCTACTCAGCTAAACTTGAAAGTCAATTAAACTGAATACAACACTCTTACTCACATCAAGTCTCAAGAAAGATTGCGAAATCATGTTCAGAAAGAGCACCTTCCGCCAACCGTACCGAACTCTATAGGCGGCCGGCTTCTTCCCTCTCTCTCGCACATTCTTCTCCATTACTGCCTATGACGGCATGAAATTTGAGCACATTTATATTTGCATGTAAATTGTTTTTTATTAAAGTATTATTAACTTAGATAACACTTCTTCAATCCTTTGAGAGAGAGACACTAAAGTTCCTCGTATATTGTGAGTAAATCAGTAAATGATGCACAACCTTTTTGTTTCTGGGTTGGTCAAATGTGATATGTGCTTCTTTAATTTTCATACTGCACTTGGATGTTTTGTTTTGGTTTTGTACCGCTGTCTCGTCTGCTCGAATGAGTTCTCGAATCAGCTGGATTCTATGTTTTTCTTTTAGTTTACGTGTTGATGAAGTATTTCCCGTGCTTTTTCTCAGCTGTGTCCTTCCTTCCCGAAAATGAGCGTTTGTTTAGACGTGTATTCTGCTCGGTCACGGAGTCCAGACTCTCGTCCCTAGCCCTTCGTTATCAGGAGCTTGTCAGTCAGTCGTGATATAACCTCACTGATAGGGGACGAACCGTCCCGAGTTTTACCAAATCAAACAAATATGTGTCTCCAAGCGTTGCTCAGCTTTTTCCGGAAATGGAGGTACTGGATTCGTCCGGCTGTCATGACGGTGTACACCATCGTCATCGTCATG